CCTGAGGAAGAACGCCTTGGTGGCCATTCACCATGAGCTGAACAGACTGGCAGGTCCAGGCCCCAGTAACTGGATCAGCCAAGTCCGCCGACGAAGCTCCCTCCTTAGTGAGTTGTCACATGATTATTTGAGACAGACAGAAATAATGCTCTCATAGAGTATCAGGCTAATTAATAAACTAGCTGAAACTAAATTCAGTGTTTTCCTTGTGAGATATTTATCTTAAAAATACAGAAAAATAATAGTGGAAGCTGAATGACTCGCTTTACTTTCTAGGTTCTCGGATTGAGGAGGAGCAGAGGTACAGCGAGGAAGAAATGTCCTACGTGAAGCAAGGTGAGAATGCACTGCAGAAGGCCATCAACATCCTCGGTGAACAGGACGGCTGGACCATTGAAACTGTAGCTGTGAGTATTGAGACAAGACACACAGAAAAGAAGAGCACTTCACTAATTAAATCAAAAGGTGCAGTGGCTGTCACCTTGTGATCAAAAATGTGGTTGTCAGTACCTGTTTACACCCCTCCTTAGGCAAATGGAGACAAAGTCTTGAGTAAGGTGTTACCTGACATCGGGAAGGTGTTCAAGCTGGAGGTGATGCTAGAGCAACATCCTGACACTCTTTATGAAGAGCTGGTGGGAAATATGGAGCAAATGGGGGAGTGGAACCCTAACGTCAAACAGGTCAAGGTAAGAAAGAGGCATATGAACAGGGATCCCTTTAGATTCTGCTATTTAAAATTCAGTTTCCCATATCACAACCAGATAAATCTCATATCAGAGCACTTACAGATTTTCACAATGGAATTCCACAGATCCTTCAAAAGATCGGCCAGGACACAATGGTTACCCATGAGGTATCTGCAGAGACGCCCGGCAATGTGGTGGGACCAAGGGACTTCGTTAGCGTCCGCTGTGCCAAGCGCCGGGGCTCCACATGCTTCTTGGCTGGAATGTCCACTCAGCATGCAAAAATGCCTGAGCAAAGGGGTGTGGTGAGGTGAGTTCCCACCTAACTGAAAGTAATGATTCTTTTCTTGATGTGTACATGCATGTAAGGAGTAAAAAGATCAGACTATTTGAGTGTAATGGATGGATGTGAGTACCTTATGCTGTTGAAACTGACGTTGTACATTGATCATTACATTATTTCAGAGCAGAGAATGGGCCTACCTGTATAGTGATGAAGCCCTGTGCTGAAGACCCTAATAAGACCAAGTTCACCTGGTTACTAAGTATAGATCTTAAGGTATGACTGCCATATTGGCATTTTCTTTCCCACATTAACCACAGTGATTTGCACTGAAATGCATTCAAAAACCCCTGTAAGCAATTGTGAATAGCCTACTCTGTTTCCAATGTTTTTTCCACTTTAGAAATGTGCTGACATCAGCTCGTGACAAGTTCCTTTATATGTTCATCTGCGCTTGGCACATTCCTGCAAGTGTTTCCATTACGTAGGCTACACTCCTACATGTAGCTACATGCTAACATGAAGTAAACATGTAATCTTGGTTGACAATGTTGTTAATTTCTTCCTGATTTCAGGATTTTTCTGGTTTTGAATATCTTGGTTTAGAAGCTTTTATTGGAGAGTTTTCACAGTAGAAAGTGCTGCTATACTCTGTTAGGCAACAGCCATTCTCTGGCTGCAAGTACACTGCTACATGTAGCTCCATGCTAACGTCTGGAAAATGTAATCTCAGTTTCAATTGTTGTTAATTTCCCCCCGATTTCAGATCATATTCCTGCTGGGACATGTCTAGTTGAGAAGATTTTGATTTAGAGGCTTCTATTTTTCATTTTTCATGATAGAAAGTGCTGCTATACTCTGTTACAGTCATACCCAGATGCAATGGCGGTGCACAGAATACCCAGAATCTCAGACCACTCAGAGCAGACTGAGCTTTTTATCTGGACGGGGCTTAATAAGAAAGGCACTAAAAGAAAAAACATTTCAGACAGAGGGTGAATCCAGGTGTTCCAGCAGAAACAGTACAATGAAAATAAAGTGTATACTATATAAGTATCTGAAACTGAGCATAATAGGTCCCCTTTAAAAATGAAATAAAAGACAACAATCCCATTTTAACATTGTCTTTGTCTTTGTCATCTGCAGGGATGGATCCCAAAAACAATCATCAACAAAGTGCTCTCTCAGACGCAGGTGGACTTTGCCAACCACCTCAGGCAAAGGATGGCTAATAATGTTTCTATGGAGATGGCTCATGCCTGCTGACACAGGATGCCTCTTGAGCTTTGGCACAGTGCGCTCAACAGTACCAGAGGAGCAACCCCGTGCTCATTAAAAAAAATCGTAGGCTACAAATCTGCTTATACCTGCTGAAACAGTATGAAAATCCAGAGTGTATTAAGGAGATCAGAGCAAGATGACACTTGTTTGAGATCTAAGGAAAACCTGAGCACAGATGTTGGTTTCAATTGGCAAATGCATGTTTCTCTTGCCCCTGGTAATAGAAAACCTGTCATGAGATTTTGCATCTTGCACACTGTGTGCCTTGATTGTTTCTGACACATTCATCCACATCACTTCATTTTGCCTTGGCAGACACTTTGAGTCAGTGTGAGCAGTTAAACGTGTTATAAACTGCGCATAGTTTCCTCCTGATAACACCCCAGTTATTGTCCCCCCCTCTGCTGTGAAGTTGCACTTTTATTTCGTGTTTTATTTATTGATGTTGTGCAGATGCATTTCATTACAGTGACTGCCAAGTGAATAAAAGATTGCAATGTCATTGGTATTAATGTTTTTATTCTTTTATTATACTGTTTGAAAGCAGTTCTGAGAATGATTACTCCATCCTGTCCTCATGCATGAGAACCCAAATAAAAGCTCATAAAACATTGCACTCGTCATGATTAACTACAAAGATAACAAATAAAAACATAGTCCACACACATAGTTGGTCACACAGACTTAAAAAATAACACAAATTCTTGTACTGCAGGGGAAAAAATACAAAGCAAAACAGAAAACTGAATGGAAAACCTTAAACTCATCTTGGAGATTCCACTTTGACAGGGAGGAGAAAGATGAATTCAAAGGCTCTTTTTTAAACCATGAGAAATGTAGTTCATAAAAAGATGTCTTCCTGTTCCTTGATGGATTTTCAGACTGACAGTTTGCCAAAACGAGCAGGTGTTTGGCCATTCAGATGTGTGAGGAGCCCAGCAGCGAGCAGTTCAGCGTGAGCCAGCAGCACATTCCCCAAGATCGAGTAACAGTGAGTTTCATCCCAAACAGGAAATCTGTCCTCCATTATTGCCAGTTGTGTAACATTTTTCCTATTTTGTGAGTCGATCCAAAATGTTTTGTAACAACACATTTTCTTGGATGTAGTTAAGGCTACATGGGCAGCCAGGATGAGTTAAGTTTAGGAGTCAAGGTCTCACTTCTGTCTCACATGATGAAGTTGGCTGCAAGATATTCACGAGCACTACTACAGAATTATTTATTCATGACATACCAGTTAGGCCTGAGGAAAGTTTCTGAGGTGAAATAGGAAGTGAGCTGTAACCTGTGGGCTGTGGTGACTGCTTTCCCCTTCCTTACATAATCTTTCTGAGAATTTAGGCCCAAGACAAATGCCCAGTTTGGTTGATCCTGACTCCATTGTCCTCTAAATAAAACAAACTTTAGCAGAATAGGTCCAAGGGCTGCCTTGTGCAATGCAAAACAAACATTTTTTTCTGGAAAGAATGTTCCAGAGGGTAATAATTGACATCTGCTTGAAATCCCTTAAAATCTGAACATAAGCAGATGTGAGGAGAGTTGCACAGCCACTTGGAGATCTTGTTCTTGTATTTGTGTATCGAGAGGAAAGGAGAAATTCTGACTTAGGAAAGGGAAAATTATTCAGTGCAGTGCTTCCGTATGTAATAAGGACAGTAAGACAAAACAAGCTATCTGGCAGTCTGAGCCTCGATTAAATGTTATGATTTTATCCAGTTTCCATCAATGTGTCCTTGACTAAAACATAACTCTAAACGTCAACCTTTTTTCTCTTGGGGAGAAATGTAGGCAAATCCTTGCACTTTATAAGCTTTCCAGAGGGGTTAAGGGACTGTTCATTACTTATGTGGAGGGAGGGGGTGGTGCAAAAAGGAGGGAGCATGTCAAATAATTTTTTAACTGGAGAGGGACTTATTTTTTCATTATTTATTTATTCACTTTGTCTTGGGAGGGGCATACAAATTTAAATGTTTGGTTTTGGTATTTACCATTGATTAAAAAAATATATAATAATATGTTTTCTTTAGAAATTGCCAGAACCAACTATATAATTCATCATAGCCAGAAACTGTAAAAATAGAAATTATCATTGGATTTTTAAATTTCCAGTGGACACATCATGTACGACAAACTCTTCTGTCCGAAAAAAAAAAAGAACCAAATCTGAGCTTAACATAGTAATATTTCATCAAAACCACTTTATTCTACGTCATCCGAAATAAACTGTCAACACTAACTGCCCAGCATGCACAACAAGGGTGAAAAACCAAGGCTTTTTTTCAACTTCAGATTTCATCTTCAACTTTTAACTTAAATAAGTTTAAAAAAATCTAATAGCTTAATTAATGTATGGTGGGGGTGGGGGGTTGTCATGCATTTTCTGCCAGTAACTCAGGGAGGCTCAAGCAAAAATAAATGTAGCTTTGGGGAGTGTCAAAAAAAAAAGCCACCAGGCACCCCACCCTTGAAGTAGCTACAGAGCAGTCCCTAAGTTAAAAAAAAATCTTTAATAATTGATATATTCATAATTAGATTTAGAGAAATAATGGCACTCTTCATTGTATCTTAAGCAAAGAAGAGTATGTGCTGAAGGGAGGTGCAGACAGAAAAGGAGGTCACAGGCTCCCTGCTCTCTGAGCCTACCATATCTGTGAGAGAGAGAGAGAGAGAGAGAGAGAGAGAGAGAGAGAGAGAGAGAGAGAGAGAGAGAGAGCAATGACGTAATGAAGTTACAGCCCGACGGGGAACCACAATTCCCAGGATGCACTTGAAATTACCGTGGCCACTGGACGGGGGAAGGGAAGCTGAGATTGGAGGGAGAAATAGTCAAAAACTGAGGTACTTTCTTAATGCTTTATATCGCATTATATAGTCGGACAGCCCACAGCACGCAATGTTTTGTAGCGTTTTTAATATACGTTATAGACGAAAGCAGATTAATCCGTATGTTGCTGTCGGATTTGGGCACAGACTCCATCCCCGTTACAGTTCAATAGAGCTACTGCTAGCCCGTTAGTTAGCCTGACAGCTGGCTTCTCTTGTGTTAGCTTGCTCTCAACTACATAATTGGACTTGATATTCATGGTATAAATTATACAGCTAATTGCGGCTAATTTTGGCCGGCTTGCATGCAGTGTGTGCGGATAGTGCTTTGTCGGTGTGACAAGGAGCTGTAGCTGCGTCTTTGTGCCTGCGGGGTTGCTAGCTGACATATTGCTAGCTTGTCGGTTGCTACAGATAATGTTAGCTATCTGACGTTAGGTCGCTATGAAGCTGTCAGAGCGGTGATATGGTACAGGAGGCGACTGTCATCTCACAAAGTTGGATTTATTCGGTACATTTCTGTGATTTCTGTCATGACACAGAGCTTGTACTCTGCGGTGCTGGACTTTGACACTCCTGTGTAACACATTTAAGGCTTTTAAAAAATCTTTCTGTGATTTAGACAGCAGTGGAGTGTTAGTAATAGTGTAACTTACAGTAAAAAATCTTCATTCCATATTACAAGTAAAAGTCATGCATTGAAGTGTCACTCAAAAGAAACTACAAAAGCATCAAAAATAAAAGTACTCAATGCAGAAACTAAATGCCCATTTAGTTGGGTAACGTTTATGTGTAATTAGCATTTAGTTGTTTCCTGACTGTTTCTTGGGTATTTTACTCCAGTACATAACATTAAGCTACGTGATAATAATAAACTAATAAAGTGCTTTTTAAATCAAAGTCACAAAGTGCTTTGCATGGTTGAACCCAGCTGTAAAACAATGCTGGATTTCAGCAAATAACATTAGGCAATTTTAAGAATAACAAAGAAACAGGAATCCCAACAATAAAGGTAAATACCACCAATGAAGCAGCAAAGCTAACAACTAACTGCCCTGAAGATGCACAAATGGAATGAGTCAAATGTAATCAATTAGAATAATATAAAAGTAATATAATCCAATACCAAATTACATTATAAGATGAACAAATCATATAAGATATGATATATATAAAATAAACAGTGTGCTAAAAGTAACAGATATGTTTTAAAGTGATGTAAAAGATGGCAGTGATTCTGCAAGCCTCACACCCTCAGGCAGGGAGTTGCAGAGCTGGGGGGGCCTTGACCACAAAAGCCCTGTCACCTTTAGTTTTGAGCCAGGATTGAGGAGCAGCCAGCAGAGCCCTGCCTGAGGATCTGAGGCTGCACTCTTGCTCATAGGGGAGCAGCATCACAGCTTTGTAGTTGAACTCCTGAAGTGTTATTTACGTAAAATCTTATCTCATAAAGTAACTTTTACAGCTGTCAAATAAATGGGGTAAATTGCAGTTAGAGTTGCAACAGTGTACCATTTCAAGGCGTACCGTGATATTAAAATTGACGGTTATTGCAAGGTGTACATTTGCTTATCTACGATATTGACAAAACAAACAGACAGAAAATGTCAACTTTATTTTAGTTACTTTTAAAAGTGAGACTTTTTTCACACACTTCGATTAAAAATGGTTTTAAGTTTGTTTAACCAAAAATAACATTTCTATTTTAATTCCTTTGAGGATCATTCTGACATGATAATAATTCTGCCATACCCTGATACTGTGAAACCACGATATTTTCTGAGACGGTTATCATTCCATGAAAATCTCAGACTGTTGTAACCCTAATTGCAATGTTGTTGTTGTAAAAGTATAAAGTAGCATGGTTCAGTTAAAGAGCAACTTCCTCAAATTTGTATTTAGGTATAGTAATTGAGTAATTTACTTTACACTACTGAATTTAGATTGCTTTGGCAAAAAACGTACATAGACAATAATACAAAGGACAACTTTTTAGTGCAATATAGTTAATAGTTTATATTATATAAGTTATAAGTATTCTTTAAATCAGTTTTGACATGGTTAAACTTATATTTTGCTTCACATTTTTATGCACCATTATGTAGTCTTGTCATGACACTGGAATTCCTAACTTTGGTAGTACCTTAAAAAAATGTTGATATTCAGTATTAATGTTACAATTACATTTTTTAAATGAAAAGATAAATATTACAAGGCCATAACATGGCAACAACATCTTTTTGTTTGATAAATATCAGAGAACAGGTGAATGTTTGTAGTCGAGAGTAGTAAACAAGAGAAACGCAGCAGGTACCTGTGTATCTGTACTGCAGAAAATGAGTATTGAAACAGCTTCGTATCGATATGTATCAATAAATTGATGTTTTCAACAGCACTATTATCATGTAAGTGTGTTTTCTCACTGGTAAACATTCTTTTTGTTCTAGTTTTCAGATATTATGTACATATGACAGCCCCTCCTCAGGACTCTGACCAAACAACAACTCTATCCATGACCCACATCTCACTGGACACCTTCACTTCTCACTTTGGACATGTGCTGCAGTTTCATGTGAGGCTGAAGACATAACACAGCATTAGTGCACAACTGTACTGGTACCTCTAGGTGCATACTGGATTTGTCTTGAGTGCCAAAGTAATGAAGTGTCTCGGACGTGGAAAGCCCAGCCCTGAAAAGCAATGTCATTATCCAGCTTCTGCGTACGTCTGATGGGGCTGAGGAGCGGAGCCACTGGCCAAGCGGATCTGTGGAGGAGAGAAAGGAGGCAGGTTTCCAGGAAACTTCTGCACTGATGGATAGCCATTTCTTCCTGTCAGCTCTTGTGGACTGATACCTGCATATTCCTGTCAGAGTGCACACTCAAGGTTAGACTTTAGAGTAGCTAATAAGACCAGGCTGCCATCAGAACCCCACAGTCATCGCTATTACACAGAAGAAGAAAATATGATGTGCACAGTATGCATTTCCTCTGCCAGTGACAGTTTTGGGAAATCATACTGGTGAGTTTGGACGTTGAGTTCTCTATGTATATGAGGAGAAAAGGAGAAAAGTGTAGATATTTGCAGTCACTACAAATGTGCTCTATGGAAATCATGGTGGTCCTTGCATCAGCTCCTCAGCCCATCTCAGTCCATGACTACAGAAGCCTTTAGAGGCCACGATCAGGAACACGCTCGCCAGCCAACACACTCATATGCAATGGAAGAAGACATTGATGTCACAACCCTCTCTGAGGTAATATTTCACCTTTGGTCCTCAAGTTTGTGACTTTAATCTCATTCCAGTGTTTGGGTTTATAGCAACTTAACCCCATTAAAACAGAAAGCTTGACAGCAACACCTGCTGTGTTGATCAACAGAATAGAAGTTGGTGCCGTCTTGCACCTGTTGCCATACTGATGTAGTCACCCTCAGAGATAAATTTTCCTTTCTTGTACCACACTGTTGTATAATAAACAATTAAGAGCTAATGTGTTTAAGAAGTTCTGTCACACGTGTTTAACTTAAGGCCTAAGGTCAACAGTTGTCCCTCTGCTTTAGCTGTAATCTCCGGTCTGGCTGGCTTGGCATGTTGCTATGGCTTCAGCTGACAGGGCATTTCCCTTATCCCCAGCTTGGTTTTCCAGCCGTAACATTACTTATTGCTCCCTGGCTTCTATCCTTGTGTATCGCTTCTTTTTTAAACAGTTGGATAAGTATATCCCCTGCCTGGCTGGATGCAGTGTAACAGGGCAGGGACAGTTTTCCTCAGAGGAAGTACACCCTTGAGTTACTAAATCTGCCCTCACTAAATCCATCAACACAAAATGCATACTAAAAAAAAAAAAACAGAAGTGTTAGCACGTGCTTTACTTCTGAGGCCATTTTGAGATTTATTTGGTGTGCTGCACTAAATATGTTTCACATAGTTTTAGTTTTCAGGGATGCCAGAATGACCAAAAGTGAGAACATAATAGAGCAAACAATTATGATGAATTTTGCATGTCTTAAAGCAGTGAAAGCTGCACTATTTTTACATTGTGTACATGTCTGAAGCATCTGCTCTGTGTTGCTGCTGCCCCCCTGTCAGGGCCTGAATGGTTTGTCCCGTGAATGTAAACCATTAGAGGATATCACCAATGGACACTCCAACCATAAGCCTGTGAGTACAAATCTCTTTTAACTGATCCATCGTAGTTTCTTTGCAAGTATTTAGAAATTGAAAATTCTAACTTTTGTCTTCTCAGGTCATGAACGGACTGATAATTAGTCATAATGTCAAAGACCACACCAACGGCAGCGCACCACTCAGATCCCTGCCGGTAATTCAGTTTCATTCTTAGCATCTCACTGTACCCAACGTGTCCCTCCTGGAACATGAGGTAATCCATTGTTTGGTGATTGTCCAGATTTCAGCACTGAAGCAGAATGGTCTTCTGCAGAACCTGGCAGCTGGAGGGGACCAGCCTAAACCTGCAGGTAACACACACATACTCTCACACAACCTCTCTTTAGTCTCACATCGTCTTCCCAGAGGAATGAGAGACAGTGTATCCTAGATACCAGGCAGCTGGTGCAGATAAAAATTCCCTCAGGAGTGCAGGTTGGCTGCTTGGAGGAGGCACAGGGTCTCAGTGGCACTCTGAGTGATGCAGGTCTGTAAGACTGGAAGGATTTATGACTGATGATGAACAACTGGATGGGTGTCAGCCAGTGCACCATAGCCGATTGGCTGAGTAGATATTCATTCCCAATCAGTGCTTCTGGTGAAGTTTGTTTGTTTGTTTGTGTGAGAGTGTGCGACAAAATTGGGTGTTTGTTTTCTTACCTACATTTTTAAAATTATCCCTACAGAGGAAAATGTGGAGTTGGAAAAGGCCAGGGAGGAGTGGGAGGCTCTGGAGAGCGTCCAACCAGGTCAGATGCATCTCACTCCCCCAATCCCAAATGGATCCCTTACAGACTCGTTGACTCAAGCCCTATGCCCTTACAGACCTTGGACCAATTCCATTTCTTCCCCTTCCCCTTGGATCCATTTGGGATTGGGGGACTGTTTCACCTGTTTGCATCAAGTTTAGGGCTGCACAATATGTCGTTTTTGTATCATCATCATCATCATCATCACGATATCAACTTGTGCAATAAACACATAGCTAAAGACTGTAGGCACTTTTTTGGTTAGTTAGAGAGTACCAGTAATAAACTGTTTTGTGTCTTTTGTGTTTAGTTCAATTTGTTCAATAAAGGAAAGCTGTACACTGAAAGCAGCAGAAAGGCAGAACTGAGTACACTTCAATATCTGTTTTTTTTATAAATATATCATGATATTCAACAACGTTATCTCATATATTCCTCATATTGTGCAGCCCTAGATAAGATAACAATGACTTTATCTGTTTTGTCTGTAAGTTGCTGTTCTAAAAGAGTAACTTTGTCTGTAATATTCCCCAGCTCTCACTGAGGACTCAAACCCGACCCCGATCATCTCCTTCAACGAAGCCTTGCAGTACTTCCAGACCACAGACCTCGGGGACTTGCTGGTAAGGAACATTGCATATCCAAAATTCTCAAATAAGAGCTGACATTTCAATAATGGCCAACTCTCAAATGATAGCAGGAGGAGTGGATTGTTGGAACAAATAAAGGCTAGTCGTTGCCTAAATATCAGTGAAAGATTTTTGGGTTATATGCACACTTTGAGTTTGATGTCTTCACAGTAAAAGCGTTCCAGGAATAGGAAGGGAGGTGCTAGAAGCATTTACTTGTGAAACAAAGGAAATTTGAAATGAGGAAGAAAATAAAGAAATAAAGGCCTGATAAAATATTCAAATTAGAATCAAGTGGATTACTTGTGGATGTGTTTAATAATTTAGTTGATAGTTCTAACTATAATTTTAAAGTGGTATTGTATTTCTGCCTTCTTCATCTGTAGAAGAACATCCAGCCAACCATTCGCAGAACAGGTCTGGCCGCGATCACACACTTCCTCTTCGGACCTCCAAGGCTGCACAGGGAGCTTCTGGAGGAGAGGGATCTGGTCTTTGCCATCGCACAGTGTGAGTTTGTGTTTGCTGGGCCTGTTTGTATAATCATCCCACCATGTGTATACTCTGGAATGTTTCTAATAAACCACTCACTGATTTTCACTGCATATTTGTGTGTGTGTGTGTGTGTGTGTTCTATAGGCCATGTGGACAACAGCCAAACGGTCCACATGCGTGTCCTTCAGACCATTTATAAGCGGCTGATTGGCAGCAGGCTGGACTGTCCGCGCTATGGGGCTCACTGGGAAAACATCGGCTTTCAGGGTAAGATACCTGTACACTCCTTTGCCTCAGATACTGATCTTTATCCAAAATTATTGACAATATTTACACCAAACAAGGAAACACCATGACTCAATGTATTGTTTCGTTGTCTTTGTGTTTGTTTTTTTGCTGCACTGCAGGTACAGACCCAGCCACTGACCTACGTGGCACTGGTTTTCTGGGACTGATGCATACGCTGTACTTTGTGATGGACCCAGAGACTCTACCGTTGGCTAGAGACATCTTCAAGTTATCACAACACCCTACACAGGTATCAGCAGGTCATAAAAGACACTCCTGTAAGGCAATTTGCTCATGTCAAACAATGTGTGTATGCATGTGTTTTATTCAGGAATCAGATTTCACTAATCCTTCAGAGACACTGTCACACCTCCCACTTCAGACGTGCTACTTTGTAGCTGACCCTGACCTTTGTCCTCCCCGCAGAGGGAACTAGAACGAAAAAGAGAATTTCCCCTCAGGGATCAATAAAGTCAGCCACAAGACGAGCCTGTTTCAGGCCTTGCTCCTGTAGCCTCTGTAAGCACTCCTTGTGGACCAAAATTTCCTTGTGTATTTTCTCTGCTTTAGAACTTTCCATTCAGTGTGATGTCAATCAACATGACCCGCATTGCTCTGCAAGTACTCAGAGAGGAAGCCTTGTCCAAGTGAGTCACTGGTCCTCAGTTTTCCTTTTACTGCACCTTCTTGAGTATGTGTTTGGCTGGCTGTCTATTTGTCACACTGTATTTCTCCACCAATGCTCTTGTCTTCGCTCACGCCAGGGAGTGCAATCGTCGTCAGCAAGTGGTTGGTGTGCTGAATGAGTTCTACGTTGCCACATATTTGCACCTGTACCAACTGTGGAAGACCCAACAGAAGACCATTGTTGACTCTGGCTTTGTACTGAAAGGTAAAGAAAATGGTGGATGGAGTCCACTATTACTAAGCACTTTGAAATCAGCCTTGTTCATTCATTTGTAGATCTGTCATTGTGTAGCACATGCTTTGTATTGTGGTGACAATGTTGCATGTATTAGAGTTGTTTGTATTTTATTTATATATATATATATATATATATATATATATATATATATATGATAATCCATCAGCAAAGGGGGCTCCAGCACTTTTACATATCAAAGTCTGTCAACAGGTCTTTGGGAGGACCACTGCAAATGAGAAAACAGTTGTATAAAGCCTGGCTCCAGAGGGAGCTGCCTGAAATCAGATAAAATTTCCTTGGGAAATTGGGATTGAGTCAGCAATGGTTGGGTCTAGTTATTACAGATACTACTGGATTCTATTATTGAGGCCACATGAGTCACTGGCTACTAGCATAATACATCAGAATCCCCAATGACATGTGGTATTGTTTTGACAAACTAGAAGAATGTGTGAAATTGAAAAGATGATATCTCTGGTTCTGCTGCATTGATTTAGACTTTGTACATCAGTAGTCCAAGAATGTTAGAGGAATACTAAATTGTTGAAGTTATATTGGTTGTATTCTTTTAACTGCATGTTTTGTCCGGCTTTTTGCCAACTGAGAGTGAAATGAGAAGGTGGATGCCATGTTTCATGCGTGGTATCAGTCTTGTCATGTATTTTCAAAAATGTCGAGCTCTTCCTTTAAAACATGAACCATGGGTCTATGCATTGAACACAACACTCAGAAGCACAGTTGAACACAGATTGTCATTGCAGCATGAGTCCCACCGTTTCTGTGTTTCTAACCCCTCAGAAGTGGAGCTGTTTGCCAAAAAGAACCCCAAGCAGATGCTGCGCCGACTAGAGGTCTTCCTGAAAGAGAGGCGGGCAGGCGGAATCCCCCGTGGGACGTCGCCAGACCCTCAGGCCCAACAGCCCTCTCCTAGCCTGGGGGCCAGAGCTGGGACGGGACAGGGAAGCAAGGGAAAGGAGTTGCACTTCACGGGAGTGTGTGATCTACCGCCAGACATGGAGGGAGAGGCCAGACTCATCTAAGCTAGACTCTGTGTGTGTGTGTGTGTGTGTGTGTGTGTGTGTGTGTGTGGGTGTGTGTGTGTGTGTGTGTGTGTGTGTGTGTGTGGGTGTGTGTGTGTGTGTGTATGTGTGTGTGTGTATGTGTGTGCGTGTGCGCGCGTAGGTACATGCGTGTGCGTGCATGCTATGTGTGTGTGTGTCTGTGTTAGCAATCCTGTTTGTGAGTACATCTATCTCGGTATGTGTGATGTGTGAGTGGCTTACTCTCAGAGAGCTAGAACCCCACCAGTCCCTGATCTAGGACCTGCTATCTGAACCTATTCAAACACTTCCACTCCTTCCACTGACGCTGGGGTGCTGCACTTTCATCAGATTAAGCTTGGAGGTCTCTCAGAGTTATATTTGGTTTTTTTTTAATTGATTCATTTATTTTTTTAAACAAAGAACAGACAAATATAAAGAGCTGATGCGGGCCAGAAACACAAGATGTCACAAAAACAACAAAGTGAATGTGTGTGCACTTTTTTTGTAGATTTAGTAGCCAAATTGATTAAACTCTACCTGCCTAGAAGGTCAAAACGTACACACTTGTGTCCCTAGGATCCCTCAGTCAGGGTAAATTAGCATTGCAGAGGGGGGAGCATGGGATGGAGCGGCTTCTTAACAGGTTTGACATTCTCTCTTGCTCTGAGATACGGCTCCATCACGGGAGCACGCTGACAGCTCATGATACAAGCTGAGGGCGGCATTGTCAGGCATATTGTTAAACGCTCTGTTAACTTTATGGTGATAAGAGAGAAATGAACCAGTTTCAAGCCCTGCGACAGAGCAAACAGAAGCAGGTTTTCGCTCAGCTTGACTGAAGAGCATCAGATAGAAAACCTTGGTAGATTACAGAATTTTTTTTTTTTTTAAGTGGGGAACAGAAATTGCCGGTACATGTTGTTCTCAAATATCTCACACAGTAGACTTTGAATGCAGCTTGCTTTGATGGTCTGATCACTTTGCTTTCTCTATCAGAGCGTCAATTAAATATATGTCATGTGAAAGATGTACAAAAATGGACACTTCCAGATGTGTGGCGGTATAGCTAGATGTTGGTGTACTCATGGTTGCCAGGGGGGTCTGATAGACTAGGTGCAGAGCTCCCACTTAATATGGGGGAATTTATTTTTAATTAAAATGGTAACTTTTTTTAGTCCTCTCTGAATGGTAGCTGTCATAACTTCACAGTTATGTATAAAATCCCTTCAGTAAACAGATAGCTGAGTGGCCATAAGAGGGATTTTTAACACTGTTAAATTCCACCGTCAAGAACGTCTCAAAATCTGAATTCTTAAGTTTTCGCGGTTAAAGCCAAGGAGACACTTCTTAACAGAGTCTGTGTGCTTGGCTTGGTCCCAGCTGAAGTGGAAGGTCTGGTATGAGCTTTCTCTACATTCCGTTACAAAGCATGTGATTGTAATTTTTTTTGACCAGTTAAAAATTTATTCCAGTGTGTGTGTGCGTGTATGTGTGTGTGAGAAATAAAATGAATGAGCTGATATTGATGAAGGGTGCCTCTCCTCGGAGATGTATGGTACAGTATGCAATCCCGGCTCTCACTCAATGATAATCAAAACGATAGTGCTGTGTGACGATAGAAATCGTTCCTAACTTCAGGGTTTGTGCGCTTGTGCAAGTGAATGCATTTGTGTGTGTGTGTGTGTGTGTGTGTGTGTGTGTGCTTGCGCGTGTGTGTGTGCGTGCGTGTGTGTGTGTGTCGTATGACAGGAACTGACTACAGATGGGGTGCTTTCCTCTGCACACAATAAGCCAGCTTTACTAAGTACTTGATCCATCAAGCTGCAATGACGGTACTTATCATTTTAAAAATGGTACATAACATTTCCGTGGACAAGATTTGTCCTAAAACAAAGAACACATTCTTTGGTTAGCATTTTTAAAAAAAAAAACAGATGTTGGTTCTGGACACAGCTGGAGTCAGCAGCACTGTGGCCTAGGATGGGCAAAGCTCCTCAGCAAAGCTGGTTCCTGCTTTGTGCTAATGTGAAACCATCTCCCATCATTGTAGTCTCAATCTGTAGCATGTTCAGGTAGCACTAGTACTGTAGCATCCTATAGCCTCCTCCTCTTCGTAAAGCTTGTTGATGTCATGTCTCAGTTACAGTCCGTAGTGTCAATGAGTGCGCAAACTGTTACTACTATAGCACATTTATTTCGTATTTGCATCAAGCCTCCTTCAGTAGACACACATTTAGGTGGTGCAGCGTATGTTTGGAGAGATGTGGGATAAGCTTGACATGTTATTGAGCTCAACCTTGTCTTCTAAGAAGGTAACAGTAAAAATGGTGCCTACATCCAGTGGAGCCATGTGGGGTAGAGCGCTGGTTTGTCCTCGCTTCCTGTTTTTGTTCTTCTTTCATTTGAGCCACCGTGCCACAGTAGACTTCCTCCATTCATGTAACGCAGTAAACAGAGTTGATGTGACCCCCCTAAAACACGCAGGCCTAATTGATATATACATTCAGCGCGCAGGCACGTACATGTTCTGTGTCAACATGTACTTAGATGGTTGTACTTTGCCATCTCCACCATATAACTTCAAAAATGAGCTGATGTAGTTTAGCCAATTGTTTGCGAGTGTTTTTGACTGAACAGGAAAAATTTGCACTGTTGTAGATATTTGATAGTATGCGTGACGTATGCAAGAGGAAACAGGCCATCTTCAATAGCCATAATGTTCATTAGCGCCCACCTCATGAAACAGGCTTCGTGGAGTCCCCTCCTCGCTCTTTAAAAAAAAACAAAAACGATTGCACCACGGATATGATCTCACATTTAGTTCTATTAAATTTTAAACTGAGGAGCAGTACAGTGTATGTAAATCAGGAAGTTTGTATATAGAGAATTAATGATTGTAACTGTATGATTGTCTGTAGGGCATTATACTGAAACACATTGCTTACCTCAAGACTTGAGACAAATCTCTCCTTTCTCTCTCCTGATGTTTGTTTGGCCTCTCAGTCAGACTCTACCTTTTTACGTTTCCTTACCCCTAGGCCTTCTCTCATACCAATTGGACATGTTATATAATGTATATTCAACACCTGAAGCACTACGTAATAGCAAACTAACACGAAAGCTGGTCAATGTCATGTGTATTCTATTTAAAGACACATTTATAGACACTATTATAGGCCCACACGCGCTCTGATACACATCTGCAGATGATTAAAAATCCTCTTAAAAACGATCTATAATTGGCTGATGTTTACCATGTTTGAAATAAGCTGGTTTTCTTGTGGCTTCAGTGATAGTACAGTATACTTTTGCTGTGTTTAAGTGTTTGATGTCCAGAAAACACTCAGAAACAATCCAGTCTTTACAGCTACAGTCACAAACCAACAGTTCAATATATGATTGTAAAGATATAGGCTTGATTAGCAGTCATAATACGGTGTATGCTTTGACCTTGGTATATATATTCAGTATCCAAACAAGGCCTGATTTATCCTCTCATATTACCAAAAGTTATATTTTCAGCAGTTGTAATAGATCATATTCTTATGCGTTGATCATTGTTTGGAATCTCCTTAGTTGTGAAACCAGAACCAAGAGAAATTACAAAAAAAAAAAAAACGGGTTCTTGCAGGATGTCGGATGCTCTGAGAGGTGTGTGAAGTTCTGCTTCCTACAGCAGCAGCTTGGCAAATACAATCACTTCTCTCAATATCCTGCGCTTTATATGAAGGTGTTTTACTGTTGCCGTCGTCGTCATGTCCCTCAGAGCATTTTATGACTGTACCTTGATTGTAGAAGCCCTATTTTATACTGAGAGTTATTTCAGAATACAGTATGTGCTGTTGTACATTAAATGTATTGTATGGAGAAGCTAAATAAATGCTGTTTAAAAACTAATATATTTTCTCTGTGGAATCAATGAACCCCTATGTAAATACAAATTTTCACACTATATTTTTCCCTGGGTCAGTACACAACAGATCAGTATATTTTACCGTATTGTTCCAACATGCCTTTAGAGTGTCACTGCCAGTTCAATTTTCCCCACAAGGATTCTCCAAAGATGTACAACTTCTTTTGTGTTTTGCAAGATCTTCCTGGAGCTTTCTCACCACCATACGCATTTTAAGGCTAACTGTTTTTGTTTTGTTTTGTTTTGTTTTGTTTTTTTCATTATCCAGGGTTTCTGTGGGTCCGTGAAATTCTTGAAAGCCACGGCCTTGGAAATTTAAGTTCTTTTGATATATTTTTTTACTTAATGTTTGTAAAAAGGCTATATTGGTAAAATATGCAAGTAGCTGCTAGATTTGCTTCACTTTGCTTCACTCAGCAGCCAAAAACACAATGGCAATCTATTGAGTGGCTGGTAGATTTTGGAATCCACTACCCATGATGGCATGTGGTAAAAAAGTTAGTATAGCAAAACTTCAATTAAAAGTTGTATCAGTATGCCAGGTGCAGTAATCCTTGAGTGCTGTAACTCACTCACTCTCTGAATGTGTTCTCTGTCTGAGCTAGATCAAATGAATGATTCATAATTGATATATTATCTGAAGCTGAAATTTGAGACAAGTAATATTTATACTTTTTCTTTTTTAAAGGAATTAAAGGCCTGTCCCAAATATAGGCCAATTGATTTCATTGATTTAAGCAAATAATAGCCCAGGCTATTAATTGAAGTTTTACGGTATTGAACCCTGCCTGCCACCATCTACACAGGACAGTTGAGAGGTGTTCACGCATTCAAGCCTCACTCTTTTAATAGTTGTCTGAGCCTCTGTAGAGCCTGCTGGTACTCATTATTGAAATTCTCAGTGCTGTAACTGCATTTAACCTTGGTCAGTGTCTTGAACTATGCCATATTAGATCCTTGAATTGGAGGGAAGTGGGTCTGAAAACTCTTAAAACTGGATGCATGAGAAGGTGTGGGGACCCTGATTATCAGTTCATCTGTTGATGATTTTTTGTTTCAGTTATATGATTAATTGTTTTGTTTTTGTAATATTTAAAAAGCCATTAAAAGTTCTTAGAGCCCTGTCAGAGACAGACAGAAAGCAGCAAATCTTCATATTTGCAAAGCTAACATCAGTAAATATTTTCCATTTCTGCTAAATTAAACAACTAAAATGATTGTTTGTCAGAATTGTTGCAGATTTAATACATTTTTTTATATATCAATTCAATTTTCAAACTTCTGTCAAACTCTAATTTTTTCAGCTGTGCGCAGCCTTTCTTTGTGGGGTGTTATTGTACTTCAACAGCACATTCAGAAATCAACAGTATGCATTCCGTCATTCTTGAGTACTCAAAAATTGCGTAGAATTACTACGTAGTTTGGAATTGGGGCACAGCTGTGGTTTGTAGGGGGTCTTCAGCTTTTCTGTAGATTTTGTGTAATTCAGCCACTAGAGTGCACACTTTGATAGATCTGCAACTTAAGGACTGAAGCTATAAGAGAACATAGTACAGTCTACAGGTGCTGCATTATTCAGTGTTTTATGAATTGTAGTACTGTAAAATACCCTCATGCAGCCATGCAGGCTACACAAAGAATCAGCCCAACTCTATTCTGTTCAGTAGTAGAACTTAAAGTTTGATTTACACGTCATGACACACATCCAACTAGTTGCCAGTGCTTTAGCTTTCAAGGCAGTGTCAGTTAACTCCTGTGAAATCTAAGCCTGATCCTTATTTATCCTCCTTTTGGTTGTTTAGTTTTAAGTGAAGCTCATAAGTTCCTCTGGTGCTTCATCATTAGGGAGGAGCACCAGTACTGGCAGGCTGTGTAGACACTGTTGAAAGTCTCAGCCACAGTCCAAGGTTCTTCAGTCTGCGCTTCATCTTTCATCAGGGAAACAAATTACTTAATAAGACGTCATCGTGGCACTATTAAACAGAAATTGTAGTAAATAGTCTTCCCTTGTGTTGCCATAACACAGAGCCACTGCAGTACAATGTTGAAATATTTGCAACTGATCGAAGAAAGGGGGATTTTGGTCCTGGGTCAATAAATTTGGGATGCCTCCAAAGGAATCTTGGTACTTCGTTCTCCTACATCTGTGCCTAATCAGACTCATGGCTCCAGTCCCGCACTGCCAGATGACTAGGCTGTGGTGGACCTGCTGAATCACAGCACACACAGGATGGAAAAATATTTCAGCCAACCTTTTTGTAGCTAATCTGTGTCGAAATCACAGTTCCATAAGCCATTTTTCATATCTGCTAATAGTTTGCCGTGCTGTCTCTTCTTGTATTAGCGTTCTTTGATGTGCACGTGGTTTCAATGGAGAGCAAAGGACAAATGCAAGACACAGCTTGAATTACATCACTCAGGAGTCCATTAATTGGTAAATAATCTGACACACACATCAGTTATGTGTCAGATATCCTGCTGGAGTGGTGGGGTATCCACATGCTCAGTGAGAGTGAAGAGAAAAGAGCAGGATGGGGTTTTATGAATCTGTTTCCATTTGTACCTAGTGAGCCTGCTGGAATACAGCATTTCTCACTCTGTCTCGCCTTCCCTCCCCCAACTCTCTTCCTCTCTTTCTCTCCCTCTCTGATGTCATTGTTTCCTGCTCAGTAGATGCTGACGCTCAACTCAAGGCTGTGTGCACAGACCCTAAACCTATACTGCTCTGCTTATGTTGCCCTACAGGAATTTACAGACCCAAATGAAGGTGATGTCAGATCCATTAAAACCCAAGTCTGCTATTGTCTGCACTGCAATTGTGTGGCCAGTGTGAACAGTTGTCCTGTGTAAGTTAATTTAAGAACTCAAATGCTCATCTGCTCTTTGTGATAATCATTCATGGTGTCTTTTCTGAAACATTACACTCAGCACCACTTACTCTGATGTACTGTCTGAACTGTGATCACCATGTGACGGACATGAAGTGTTAGATGATTAGTATTTTTTGTATTTAGGTGTAGCCTACAATACAAGCTTCTATACTATGATTCTTTACTTAAAGGTCCAGTGTGTGAGTTAGGGGATATATTGGCACAAATGGGATGTAATTTAAGTATGTTTTCTCTGGTGTCTAATCAGCTGAAAATAAAAACGGTTGTGTTATCATTACCTTAGAATGAGCTGTTTACATCTACAAAGGGAACGGGTCTTAGTCCATGAAGATCACCATTTTGCACAGCCATGTTTCTACAATAGCCCAGAATGGACAGACCGAACTTCTCGATAGGGCCATTTGCATTTTCGCATCAGCCACCTTATTAGCAGCCCTTCTGCGAAGAGAGCGTCCAAAAACCCACTGATTTTTTTAACATGAAACTACTTAATTTAGTGTTTTTATCGGTTTTAATCACAGGGTCCATTTGTTTTTGAGAGACAGAGACCTCTGTAGATAATTTGGCTTCCAATAAAAATGTCCTGAACAATAAACACTGAAGGAATTCTAACCGTGAGAAGTTTTGAATGCTTGCAATTTGCAATCCTCACCACTAGATGCCATTAAATCCCCCTAAATCTTACACACTGGACCTTTAAGTATGAGCTGTAAAAACACATTTGGCAACATTTTCAGCAAAACACAAGTATACGTAGTTAAAATACTAGTACTAATATTATACAAGCAGTTTGGTTTTTTTTTACTCCAGTATAAGGCGGAGGGACATAACTGTATAGTTAACAGTTACTTTAAAGTTTAAAGTTAAGAGTAACATACAAAAAATATGACAAACTTATAAAATATCATGCATTCTTAGAGATTAAACTACCAGCCAGCATGATCTCATTTACCAAAATGGTACGCGCACATAGGTCTACATGCATAAAATATGACTATAATATATATAGAGAGAGTAACAATATACAGTAATACACTAATAGAGACCATTTTTCGGCATTGTTTTATTTACTTTAAAGCACATTTTTCTCATAGTGGTTGTAATCTTTACACTGGTATTGCTGCTTTTCCTTGAATAAAGAATGTAAATAGGCCTACTTCTTCCACCACTGTGTGTTATATCATTATCACTGACGGATTAAAGCCAGACTGTGTAACTTTTGAAAGAAGAAATAACATATTCTCCTCTTACAAATGAAATTCAAAATAAATTCAAAATGAACTAATGCTCGCTCAGACATTCTGCTGCAACAGTCTTACTGTCTGTCATAACGGTGGGTTATGTAACTAGGGTTAGCAGGCTTTAGGTAGCGCTGTAAATGATATTACTGAGTTGGTTTGCTGACTTTATGCATCTTCTCTTCTTGTGCTACTTTTACAATATGTTTTAGCATTTATTGTTTTCTTGTAATTGCCACTTTTGCCATTTGATGCTGTTCAGAAAAAGTTAGGAGCACTTCCTGCGAGCCGAAATACTGCACGTTAAGCTACGGTCATAACAGAACAAGTAAGGCTGTGAATTCCTTATATCCTGTACTGAATTGATCAAAGATGTTTTATGTCTAATTATGTCAAATGACCATTATTTATCATTTCAGAAGTCACATAGTCCCACTTAAATATAGCTGTTGGAGGTGGAGCGATTTATTTGTGGGTATCATATGAACTGATCACATGATGTCACTTCATATGTAAAATAATCAGTAAAGTAACAACTGTAGCTGTTGAGTAGGCGAAATGAAGACAACTAAGACAACTTGCCAGTAGCTGTACAAATGGCATGAATTGTAAATACTTAAGTAAGTGCTACCAGGTCCTGCCTCTTACAGCAATTTTATGCTCTTCCCTTCATCACTGGGTGAGACAAAAGTTATTTGTTATCAGGAAGTAGCTGCTGTTGCTTTCTTTAATCCATGTTTTATAAGTAAATAATTAGGGCGAGTCACGTGTTGTTTTTCAAGCTTTCATTTGGCTTTTACAACTGAAGGCAATGACCCTGCAGATTTCTGTCTACATTGTGAAATAGCATGGGTGAAAAAAGAGAAGGTCGGTGCTTGCTCCTCAGTGTGTCTCTGGATCCTTGCCAGTTGAAAAGGCCTCAGCTTGACCTTACTGTAGTCTGAATAATCTGCTGCATTCTTCGGAGCCTTAGTCATATCCTCCATAGATATGATTGCATGTCGCAATACAGTTTTCATCAAATCAGATTCTCCACGGCTAAATGCATCTCTGTTCCACTGTCTTCACAATCTGAGAGTCAATGAACTGAAATATTTTAGCGTGTGTGTGTGTGTGTGTGTGTGTTTGCACGCACTGGGGTATTTGTGCCTCTCTGTGTGTCTTGTCTGATGATTTGTTCAGTTTAAAACCCTGATGAGTCTGCCTGACCAGAGTTAATGGGACTTCAGTGGGCTGTGCAGTGGTTTGATTGCACTGCATGTCTGGATAATAAACCTCCTCTCAAAACTGGGACAAAAACTTGAGCTGAGGTCATTACATTTTGTAGGAATGTCTGCATAAGCAGGGTAACATGATGCTTTTTCCCACTGACATATTTTGCACTTATTTTCTTACTTTAATGCTAATCATTATGTTTGGACATTTGACCAAAATGTTGTCATGTCTGTCTAACGTCTTTAACTGGAGTTTAATCTCAGGCCCCAGATGGATCTATCAGATTACTTGCTGAGAATAAACAATTCTTGATTACCAAGGACAACTAGAACATGTACCTTGATTAGACTGGTGGTAAAATATACAACACATCCAGCATTTGAAGGCCTTGACAGGCTCTCCAGTGGACAGAGGAGGAAGATGGGGGGACAGTATAGAAAACACCAAATCTTAAAAGGTTATAATTCTGTCATCTGCTCAAACAATTCTCCTGTCTTGTGTGTGTGCGCCTCCATGGCCCCCTTGCCGACCATAACTTTTCCTCTAGAAAGTAGAGAGCGGGCTGCGCAACACCATGAGGAAAGAATGACAGAGCTCCACAGAAACGAGGAGGAAAGCAGAGATCCATTCCCAACCAAAACAAGTCCTGGACTGAGAAAGAATTTATGTTCTACTCCTGCCTGTTTTCTTTTTCTATGAATTCCTCCCTCTGATGATTAGTGGTGTTTGGTTTTGTTAACACACACATAAAATCCCTGTCCTCCCCTTTTTACCCCTTCCTCCTCCTCCTCCGCCTCCTCCTGTTGTGGAATTCAATGTCCTAGGAGTCGCTCCTCTCTCCTGCTGTTCTGCTCAGTGGTGAGTCTGCAGGGTGAAAGCTCTCCGCCGAGGAATTCAACAGAAGCTGCAGACGAAAAAGGAGCTGACTTCTTTCTCCAGCCCAAGGTGGAGCAAACCCTGTAGTCTGAGGCCTCACCTGCTGTCCCTCATCCTCCTCCCCCCATCTCCTGTCTGAGCTCTGCACCTGTTCTGACTCGTCAGCCAGGTGAAGGGGATCCTCTGGCCTTAACATTGTTGGTTCAGCTGACCGTAGCTGCGGGGCAATTAGGAACCCAGTCTATTCATTTGACTGGATTGTTGCTTTGCTCTGTATCTCTCTCTCTCTGTCTCCCTCTATAACCCACCTCCCTTCCCTCCCTGCCTATCCCTACCCCCCTCCCACTCCATCTCCTTCTAGCCCAGTCTGTGCCTGGTTGACACTGTCGCTGTGGGTACGAGTGCAGCTGCAGAAGTTTCCCTGTTGGAGTATTAGTGTGGATCACATTGCAAGGACACAGTGGGGGAAGAGGTGAAGAAGAATTCTTCTGGTTGAACAGAGTTGGATTGAGCATTGTGGACGGCTGAGACAGAAAACTCCAAACCAAAGGATTCTGCAGTTGGAAGAGCAGCAGGTATGAAAAGCCAGACTGTGGTTGTGTCTGTGGCTCTGCTGGCCCTGTGCTGCCTGCTGATCCCCAGAGAAGGGGAGAGCGCTGGGGGGATAGTTGCTCTCCGGCAGACTGAAGAGGAGAAGCAGGCAGGGGATCAGCTGCGAGATGAGTCCCTGGATGACCCAGAAAGTGAGCAAGGACTCACAGTGGACCCACACCCACTGGGGAGCAGCAGCAAGGACAAGAGAGACACAGAGGAGGCTGCAAGGGCAGGTGAGTGGAAAAAAAAATTAGCTTAAAAAAATACAGATGTGCTACACAGACATGACATCAAAGCTGTTGAGGTGTGGGCTGAGCTCCATCACGACATGGAAGAGCAAATACAGACACAAACACACAACCATTCAGTGTGTGACAGCTCCAACAGGCATGAGACAGTCCAGGTGCTTACCTATCCACTGCTATTTCTCCACAGCAGGGAGTAAACAGCATAGACTGATTTTTTTGGCTCAGACCAGACAAGAGAAGAAGATACCGAGTCAAGCCGAGCCACCGCATACCACCTATAATGTGGTATGATTAATGCTGACTCAAGTTCACGGTCACACTGGCAGAATGAATGTGGAAGACCGTTGCACATTTGCTTTTCTGGAGCTTTCTAACTACGTAAGCTTCAAATGCAATACTCATCAGTCCACACTGGCTCTTTAATGAGTCTCACTGATGGGTTTATGCTGTGGCCGTAAGATGTTGCTGAGGTGATAGCGATATGTTTATTGACTATCTGAATGGATTTTGTGTCATTAAAACCGAAGTGTGGTTAATGGAGCACAACTAATGGAAAGAGAGAGACGTGTTTTCCATGAAAGTGCCTCAAGACTTCAGACAACCTCAGAAGGAAATACTGATGGACCTGAAGCAACCACTGAAATGCATCTGGCTGTCTGGATTTTCCCTGGCAGTGTTGCATTTTGACATTGCAGGAAAGAACTGATTGCATAATTTAATCCTCACATTGCTCATAAATGATACAAAGTGTTACATAAGCTTTACTTCAACACGAATGTGCTTTCATCAATTAATAATTTGGTGTGTGATTAGTATTGGCAGATCTTCACCTGTTAAGAAATGTAGTATTAACAGCTGAAGAGGGTTCAATTTAAATTCAGTTCGGGAGATTGATTGGGCTGATGATAGGGGACTCACATGGAAAAACAGAAGATTTATGCATGAGCATTTAATCCGATCATGAGTGCTGTCTGCTTATTTTGATTATGACCAAAAGTCGGTTAACACAGTTTTGGAAATCCTCTCCCTTCTCATTTTTTCCTTGTCCTTCCAGATGTTTTGAGCAGGTTGAGGAGAGCACCAGAAGAAGGCAAAAAGAAGAAGAAGAAGGACAAGAAGAAGAACAAAGAGCCAAAGGACCCCAACGCCACTAAAAAGCCCAAAACTGACAAGAAGGGAAAGAAGAAGGACAAGACAACAACCACGACTCTACCACCAACCACAACACGTGAGGACAGAACAGAGCCAAGTTCGTACTTGAGTGACTTGGACTTTAGATGAATGTTGTTGACCTTTTGTCTCTCTGCTGCCTCCAGCAATCCCAACTGAACCACCCACTGAACCTGAGCCCTACACTGACTACCCCTATCCTGATGTTGGTGAGTGACACACACGTAGGGACTGTACAGAAATTCATGGGGTGTGGGGAGGAGGGGTAGAGCTAATGTTTCTGTTTGTAACATAAAGCCTTTAAAGGGGAACTCAAAGTCCTTTTACAGGTCTTGGGGAGTACTCCCACATATGTGAAAAAAAGTTGCATTAAGCCTTTTGTGGCTCCAGAGAGAGCTGTGGGCTGTCTGAGAAATTGCCTCAAGTGATGTCACTTGAGTAAGTATCAGTTGTGGCTGAAGACTACAAGTTTAAAAATGTGGGTGTGGAGTTAGAAACAACTGAGCTTAACAGACTCTTGCAGATCCTCATCTCAGCTTGAAGCTAGCAACTTGAGGCCGCATTAGCAGCTACTGGCATAACCATAGTGTCTCTTAGTGGATACAGTATTAGAGGCCAAGCCCCATTTATTTCAATGAATGTTGCTCAGTGATGCCTGAAGTCAAAAAAGTTCAACTTCTCAGGTGCAAAATTACCCTGTTCTTCATCGTTGGGCCCATAGAGCAGGCCCACTAAAGACTATGCTAGCCGAGCAGCTAATTTCCAGTTTAGCTCTCTGCTAACTTGAATGGGGATAAAACGATTTTCTTCAGACACATCTTGCAGCTCTTCAAGACTTTTGAAATGTTATCTGACCGAATGAATCCAATCCCAATGGTGTTTTGAGTCATTTTGCGAGGGTTGTGTCATTCAAAAAGTATCCACTGATTAACAGATGACTCTTTCACAATGTAAGTCTATGTGAAAAGGTCTTTCTGGAGCTCATGGCATCACATGATGGGCCCGTGTAGTTTCAACGTTTGGCCACTACAAAAACTGGCCACAAAGTCTGGTGCACTTCCTGGGAACCTGAGCATAACATACCCGAGCCCCTGACCAAACTGTTAGTGGTTGTGTTGCATTGTTGGTAATGTAGGCCCGGTGTTTTGACAAGATCATGGAAAAACATACAAACAAACAAACACAACCCTCCTGCTTATCTGACCTCCCCTCCCCCCTAATAAATTGTGGACAGTCCCTTTGGAATGAAAGGAACTGTAAAGGACATAACTCTGGACCCCTCGAATTTCCTTCTGTCTTCACACCATTATCCCATCTACAGGAAAACATCATCTATTGAAATAACAACTCAGTATATTAAATTAGCGTGTATTTTTTTTACTTTTAGTGCTATTCAGCTGCCATAATCCTACTTTAATAAAAACCTGTCTTGAAAGTTAGTTTTGTTTGAGAAACAACAAGCAAATTGCAGTTCTGCTTGCTTCGGTCTGCTTCCAATAACAGTCAAAGTGTTGCTTGTTTGCAGTTTGCAATTTAAGTCACATTCCATTTTAAAAACAAAAGCAGTGAAAAAATAATGACATCTATCAATATAAACCATCTGTTTCCTTGTCAGACGATTACTGGAAACCCGAGGATGACTACTGGGATGCCGAGCCTACGCCATCCAGGCCGCAGCCCGAGGCTCCAATCACAGATCCTCCTTACGACTACTGGAAGCCGGAGGAGGAAGACACAGCTGTTCCAGTAACAGACGTCTACGATGACTATTGGAAACCAGCAGAGAAACAGCCGTCCACTCTGGCGCCTGACGCCTACGAGGACTACTGGACACCAGACGACAAAGACCAATACGCTCCTGTGACTGATAACTATGACAGCTACTGGAAAGAGGTGGACCCGACGCCCCCTGCCCCTGAGGTTGATGGGAAGGTCGGGACAGATGATGCAGATTACTGGGACGCCACATGTATGTCTGATTCTGTGTTTACCTCTGCTTTGTTTAGATTGGGGATGTTTCTTGGGTGACAGTTTATCACATGAGGAAGATGAAACTATAATGATCCCTTGGGACCATTATTGTTGCATTGATCGTTGGGATTCATCACTTTTCAGATGAGGTTAAAGTTTTAAAGTAGATAAATTTAAGTTGAGCCAACATGTATTTACTCATATTGCCAAGAGCTGTCTAACCTAATTACATTTATTTTTCACAAGCAGTTTCTGGTTTGATTCCTCCAGGCACCACACAGCGTCATCACTACTGCTTTTACTGTGTTGCTAACAGCCAAAGCTGAACATGGATCACTGAATCCTGGTTTTAAATCTGTGTCTGAAATGTGTTTCAAAGAAAGAGTGACTAAGTGGTTGAAGTGGATCACCATGTGGATAATACTGTTTTAATTTTGATCAGAGAAAAGACTGTGACTCATCTGAAAAATCTGTAGAAACAGACACATAACTTTCCTTAAAGGTCCAGTGTGTAGGATTTAGCTGCATCTGTTGGCAAAGGTGGAATTATATAACAAGTGCATTTTCATTAGTGTGTAATTACCTGAAAATAAGAATTGTGGGGTTTTGTTAGAATGAGCCATTTATATCTACATACAGAGTGGGCCCTCATCCACGAAGTCTGCCATGTTGTGCCACTATGTTTCTACAGTAGCGCAGAATGGACAAATCAAACACTGGCTCCAGGTAGAGACATTTCTGGTTTCACGTTTTCGCGTCAGCCACCGTAGTTCTCCTACATGTCTGGCTTTTAATCCAATACGCCGCGTGCTGGGTAAAAAGTTCAACAACTTGATTCGCTGTGTTCGGTAAACGATCAGTTGGTAATGAATCACAGCTAAAAAATTTGACATTATCATGACTCACTCACTGTTGTCGTTTGTGGCTTGGTTTGTTGCGAAGACTGAAAATTTTAGTTTAAATAGTTATCTTTACTTTATTAAGCCCAAACAATTTGTAATCCAGAATATAAACTGGATTTTTTTTTTTTACAGTGGAAAGAATTAAGAATCCATTGTGTGAGTCTTGGCATGATGGGAAAAACAATAAATCTGAGGCAATATTTGGACCAAGACACTTAAACTATGCAAGGATAATACAATTTTATGCTTCATGTGTTTGTGACAACGTCCACTTATTAATACAGTACCTTCCAAATTCAGGCCCCTGATAGTTTTACCCTTTTCAGACTACTACAGCTAATACCTGGTGCACTTGTCCTTTAGAATCTGATGTACAGACTTCAAGCTGAAAACTTTTATGATCATCATTATCTCTTCCAGCCTCCGTCCACCTGAAGTCAGCACTTAATTAGTTTTTCCACAGGCTCAGATGTAGGAAACAGTGTGTCATGTGGCTCTGCGACACTCATTTGGACCGGACTGACATGTTCTCATTACTTTGTGTTTCCAGCGTACTGTACCGTACGTCTGCTCTTCCAACATTTCCACTGATTCACTCACACTCTCCCGTCCTGCCTTTTCTGTCACCCTCTCCTGTTTCTCAGTCTGCGTCTGACACTTAAATAATCCCTCTGTTTGACCTTTCTTTTTCTTTCCATTCCTGCAGTCGAGGTGCCGGAGAATCTTCCATTCCCTGATGGTAAAGAGGTCAGCCCTGAAATCACAGTAGAAACTATAACAGGTAACAGCTGTCACTCAAGTATGTTAAAAATTCAATTAACATCTATCAATCGATGTGTCAGATTTTCAATTAGGCTTTTAACTACTGAGAAATCTCTGTGGACTTGTGATGCAGAAGAAATGTCCATTCCATCTGTGCCTTTAGGCTGGGAGCAGATGAGAAATCATGAGCAACACATGGGAATAACATAATAGTGAGTCTGTGAGCTAACCTGCCCTACTTTCCAACAGGAGTGGGTGGGTTTGCTTGGTTCCACGGAGTCAACAAAACTTCCTTTAGTTTTGATGTGGAGTTAAAACAAGAGCCCTGTCATCACATCACAACCCTGTTATGATTCTTGTAAATGTAATTAAAAGATTTAACAACTTAATTACATGGTAGGCGTCGCAGTGGCATCCAAACAGCGAGCAGTAGTTGTGGTTGAATAAATCAGGGCTGTACTAACCTGTAAAACTTTATTAAACCATGTCATCTTATAAAATCTCACTTGTAATATAGCCGTTGCCTCTGATGGATGGAACGAGTTGTCTGACTTGACGTTTTGTTGTTTTTCTTTTTACACAGAGGAGCCCACAGCCGCTCCCTATGATGGGACATGGTATGACGATTACGACGAATATGGCAGTACGTGCACACATGCACACATACACACATGCACAACACTGAAGCATATCCATACTGAATGATTTATATTAGATTATTGGTTAAGCTGCAGTGAGACTTCCTGCCAACAAAGCAGAGAGCAGGGGAAGGGGATAAATGGCAGTCAGGTCAATAACTTTCCAGATTTATAAATGATCCTTTGTGACCTTTTTTACTGTTCATAGTTCCTAATAGCTTGCAAAACTCAGACAGACATGCATATATGCTGCTGAACACAGGGATGTTGTGTTTATAGGTATTTCTATAAAATTACCCTTGATTTTTCCACAGGGAGAAAGGAGACAGACGACAAATGGATGGAGAAGGAGCGAGAGAGAGCAGAAAAAGAAAGAGCGAGGGAAGAGAAAGGTAAGAAAACCCAGATGTGAATTTTTTTTTTTTTTTTGGTTACATAACATAACTCTGCACCATCATGTCAGAATACATATGATAGTGTAGCTGAACATGGCCTGTGACCTAAGTGCAAAAGGACTGACAGATAAGGCTCTAAGGTGTTCACTCCCTTAGATCACATTTCTGTTCTAACAGAACGCAGATGTGACTTCCCACCACGTTAATGTGAAAGTGTGAAGCGGGGCCTTTGGTACTTGCTTTAACTTGCACAGCGGGGACAAAAGTTCATCCCCCAACAACAAAGTGGAGATTATTCAAAAAAAAAGTTCAGAAAGCTCTTGTGAGCTGGACCGAAGCGAAGAGAGTGAGAGCGGGAGGTCAACTGAGAATGAGCCGCATGCAGCGGATTAGTGTGGGTGATAAAGGAAAGAAGCAACACGGGAGAATTAGCAGGCAGAGGATGTTGCAATGTACGGCTCTAAAGTACTCACATCACATTCAGCTCTTTTTCGCCACGTGTCCGCTGTGTGTAGCGAGGTTAGCTGGTGGTTAAGGAGAGCCTGGAGAGGATGACATATAACACTGTCAGGACTGGTGTCAACAGGGCACCTCCTGTGTGGACGGATCACTGCTATCTGCTATCTTGAAAGTTAAAAGCATCTTCAGCTATCTTAAAGGTTCAGTGCGTCGGATTTAGGGGGTATATTGGCAGAAATGGAATATAAAATAATAAGTATGTTTTCTTTAGTGTGTAAACACCTGAAATTAAGAATTGTTGTGTTTTTGTTACCTTAGAATGAGGCGTTTATATCTACTCAGGGAGTGGGTCCCATCCATGAAGTCGGCCATGTTGGACTAGCATGTTTATACAGTAGCCCAGAATGGACAAACTCTAGAAATGGCCATTCATGTTTTAGCATTCTTGCATTGGCCACTGTAGTTAGCAGCCTGTCTGCGATGAAACAAACAGCATCGGAAAAACAGATTTTTAAAGTCAAACTGCTTTATTCAGTGTTTTTATCAGTTTAAATCACTGCATCTGTTTGTTTTGGAGAGGGAGAGATCTCTGTGGATAAATTTGGCTCATGGTAAAAACCTACTGAACATCCAGGATCTAAAGTTAGCATATAAAAGCGGCAAGCACACATTAGCAGGTGCTAGGTCGAACATTCAGTGTTTTTACTGGTTTAAATTCCTAGATCCGCTCTGCAAATAATAGCTCCCGATAAAAAACCTCGAAAAATGAACACTGAAGGAATCCTAACTGGGAGTTCAAGCTTGGCACACAGAAGAGGCTTCACCTGGTTGCAATCCTCACCACTAGATGCCAGTAAATCCTTAACACATCTCCTTTATGTTCAGAGGTTGCTGCAGCCTGAAGCACTTAACTGTAACACAGAGGAACAAAGGCAGATGTGCGTCTGCACCTACTCACACAAGTGTGTGTCAATGGGTGCATGTGTTTGCCCACTTGTGCATGTGTGTACAGCAGGTGAATGAGCTCACATGTTTCACATTCTGTCAGTAAGACTCCTGGCAGCCATGCTTCCAACAATAAACAACATGATGTCAATGTGTCACACAGTCTAGTGTGCGAGAATATGAATAATGATAATGATAGATGGGATGCAGCAGGGTTCGTCAGTAGTAAACTCTGTGGGTCAGGATGATCTGAGTTTGAGCAGAGCACACTTGGACTGGGAGTGTAATCACGGGGATTTTCTTCCCGGGGATTTTTGACATATAACATTTGCCAAATAACAATGAGTTCCTAGATCATTTCTGGGTAAAGAGAGAAAGAGAGAAAGAAAATATTCAGCCACGACAGTGCAATTTATTTGGCATTAAGACTGTTTTTCTGACTTCTGCCAGAGAGAGCGCAGAGGCTGAAGGAGGCAGAGGAGCGGGCCAGGAACAGACCACGTGTCTTCAAGGAGCCAAAGAGTGAGTCGACGTCTGTACAAGATCTGGAAAACATTGCATAAGCTTTGCTAATACAGTTAACATATCATTTGACTTTCTGTGTTGTGCGTCTGCGTACGTGGCAGAGTGTCCTCCCCTCGGGATGGAGTCCCATAAGATCGAGCCAGACCAACTTTCAGCCTCCTCTATGTCTCAGTATATCTTTGCACCTCAGAGGGCACGCCTCAACATGCAGGTACACGACAATCAGAGTCGGACTGCTGTGGTCTGGATGCCTACACACACTACAGCTATCACTTACATACAGCCAGGCCTTGAAATAAACACCAGCTACCAGCTGCATGTTGGAAAATACTGTTATGGCTAAGTCTGTTGCTTCCATTAGCTGCTTTGGGTGTTTGTGTTCACGCTCTTTATGGTCTAAGAATCTTTGTAGCAGCTAAGTAATTAAATCAGCTAATAAATCTTCTAAATGTTTCTGCTTACCACTGCTGATTTTTTATTCAAGTTAGGCTCCTTTGAACAATTAACTCCAAATTATCATGGCGTCTGTGATGTGTGTGCAGAATATGAACTACATTATTTGCATGTCAGTGCACAATAAGCTGATATTAGAAGTAAATGTGCGAGCTGAAAATGAGTCCAAGGACCCAGCAGTGTGTGTTGTGGTCTCTGTGGTTCCCAGGGCTCAGATGATGAAGACAACATGAGAGGGGGGGCGTGGTGTGCAAACTCAGAGGACAGGATCCACTGGTTTGAGATTGATGCTCGCAAGGAGACAGAGTTCACAGGAGTCATAACACAAGGACGAGACTCCCAGACTGAGTAAGACACAAACTTGTACAAACACACGGATGACTACACAGTGTTTTTCCATTTTTAAATTCAACATGCTGACAACGTATTGTCTCGTTTCAGGAATGACTTCGTGATGTCCTACTTCCTGGCTTTCAGCAATGACAGCCGAGAATGGACCACCATCCATGATGGATACACTGACTGGGTGAGCTCTCTTAAAATGATGTCCCTTCCTTCGGTACCACATGCAGTGATGTCTCCCTCCTGTTTTCCTGACTCACTTTTCTTCCTCTTCTCTCTTGTGCCCAGCTGTTCTTTGGAAACAGTGATAAAGACACTCCAGTGATGAACCAGCTGGCAGAGCCTGTACTGGCCCGTTACATGCGAATCATCCCTCAGAGCTGGAACGGCTCTTTGTGTATGAGGCTGGAGGTCCTCGGCTGTCCCCTGCCCGGTGAGCCTTGAGCACATTAACACACTTTTACATGCACACACGCACTAAAACACAAAAACTAATACATTGTGTTCATTTTTTTTGTTTGGTTGACAGATCCAGTGGACGTCCAGTACAGGCAAAATGAAGTGACTCCAGTAGATTACTTGGAGTTCAAACATCACAGCTACTCAGAGATGGTTGCAGTGAGTATCCTCACATACAGGCCTTCTGCACGTCTGCTGGCTGACTGAATTCCACAGGAAATCCTCAGCTATTTTCCAAAGACAAAAACAAAATAATTTTCCCAGGAACAATTAAACAGTGAACCAGGAGGTCTGCTTTTATTCACTTGTATATAAACCGATATTAAAAACCCATGCCGAGGGCTCATTCCTTCTCAGTTTATTATTTCAACCACCAGAGGGCAACATGACCTTTCCACATTAGCTCAATGCTCATCATGAACAGGGCCCTTTATTTCTCAATTGATTGAGGATTTTTCGTGTTTTCTCAGTAGCACAGATAAACCAGATTGACCTATTGTTGACTGAATAAGCTGCAAGGATGTTTTGCTGGTGATCTGTGCAAAGGTATTTAGAATTGCAGCTGTCTCATAAATGTGTAAATTATATAAAATGCTTTGCACACTAACTGTTTCCATCATCTCGCATGTTCAGCTTATGAAGTCAGTGAATGCGGAGTGTCCCAACATTACAAACATCTACAGCCTGGGTCGCAGCTCCAAGGGACTGGAGATCATGGCCATGGTCATCTCAGGCAACCCCACAGAGCATGAAATAGGTATGTGTTCATACTACTATGAAACATGCAGATAAAACTAATACTTAAATCCTGATTGCTTGAAATTAAACACCTGAGGACTGTTGGGCCTCAATGGCACCACCGATGATTCTTGTAAATCCAAATAAACACCATGTGGAAGTCGGCAGATTATGGTTGAGGGACAAGCAACTATAGTCTTGTCTGTTTGTCTTGACAGGTGAGCCAGAGTTTCGCTTCACGGCAGGTCTTCACGGAAATGAAGCAGTCGGTCGGGAGATGATCCTGCTACTTATGCAGTATCTGTGCAAAGAGTATAAAGACAGAAACCCCAGAGCCCAGCTGCTGGTAGAGGGAATACGCATCCACCTGGTGCCATCGCTCAACCCTGACGGACATGTGGAAGCTTTTGAAGCAGTCAGTGATCATTAAAAATCATGTGTTTCTACTTTACTGACAAACAAAAGAGAGAAACAAACAGGAAATGTCAGTGAATCATGCTGTGGTAGTGGTCTGGGGTGACTTGGCTCGCTTGTCCAAATTCTCCCCCACAGGGATCAGAGCTGAGCGGGTGGACCACAGGACACTTCACTGACGACGGCTTCGACATCTTCCAGAACTTCCCTGACCTGAACAGTATCCTGTGGGATGCTGAAGATAAGGGCATGGTGCCCAAACTCACCCCAAATCACCACGTGCCCATACCAGAGACCTTTGAAACCAACAGCTCGGTAAGAAGGAGGATCGTCTGTTGTTTCTTACAACCAGCAAATCATAATGACCTCCAGTTAAGTGTTGTCATAAGGAAAGTGGTCAACACACACTTCCTGTAGTTTTCCCTCAAAGCTTTAGTTGGTAACTTTTATAAAAATAACTTTTTGTCATGTTTGCTGAAACTGTCACAATGTGGTAACACTAGTCCATGAGACAGACAGTCTGTGGGAAAGATCATGTTCTTCAGGCTCCGCATAATGGCATTTGCAAAAATACCACCATCCTTGAGCAAAAACAACCAATCAGAGCTGAGGAGTCTCACAGCTGTCAATCATGTCAGTCACTCCTCGTGAACTGCGGTCAAACTGTCAAACTAAGCAACGCTGCTGGAATATGGATCATGATTCTGTCACTGCATTGCCTATTTCTCACCTCAAATGCTTTTTTAGAAATATATTTTAGTGTACTGTTTAGCTGTAAAATAAAAAGTTTGCTCCAGCTAGAGAGTGGTGTTGTTTAATGGTGCCCAAACTTTCTCATTTTTCAGCTCAACAGTACACTAAAATGTGTTGAAATCATTTCAGGTAAGAAACAGGCAATGCAGTAACAGAATCTTGATTTAGATTTGATCAGCGCTCAGTTCACAAGCAGTGTTTGACATGATTGACAGCTGCATTAGAGACTTCTCCATTCATATTGGTTGGATTCGTTTTGCCATGGTGGATCTTGCAAATGCCATTAGAAGCACTACAAGAAGGAAGATGATTCTTTTCTGTACTGTACAATTGATGTAGAAGACCTTTGTGATCTTACGAAGGTGGCTGTGGTCTAGTCAGTAGACAAAAATGAGGACACACTGTACTTAACAGGTCTCCCTGTTTTTATTCCAGATTGCTGTGGAAACCAGGGCCATAATCTCCTGGATGAAAAGCTATCCATTTGTGTTAGGTGCAAACTTCCAGGGCGGGGAGAGAATTGTAGCCTACCCTTATGACAGCTTACATCCTAACAAGCCTGCTGCTGACAGCCAGAAACCCCACAGCCGCAAGAAGAGACAGTATGACTTTTTCCTCTCCTTTTGCCACTGTGCTCTGTTGTTGTTGTCACCCTGCTTTACACACATATTCATCTCCCAAACTCTTATTTTTACCCCTCCTTTCACCTACATAGCGCTCCATGAACCACTCAGTTACGATCACATGAAATAGTTTAACTAGAATCATTTCTTACAGGTATGAAGAGGAAGGTTTTGATGTGACAGAGTGGGGAAGGGGCTACCATGAGGAGCCAGAGGAAGACTGGAGAGGACAGGGTTACACAGAGCCAGAGGAGGAGTGGAGGGGCCACGGCTACAACCAAGGTTACAACCAAGGTTACGACCACAATCAAGGTTATAACCAAGGTTACGACCACGGCTACGACCACAACCAAGGTTATAACCAAGGTTACGACCATGGCTATGACCACAATCAAGGTTACAACCAAGGTTACGGGCACAGAGAAGAGGAGGAGGATGATAGAGGAAGAAGCGCCGGCTACCAGTACGCTGAGTCTGAGGATGAGCCTCGGGTGATCGCAGATGAGTCCCTCTTCAGATGGCTGGCTGTCTCCTACGCCTCCACACACTTGACCATGACACACAGCTACCACGGCTCCTGCCATGGAGACACCTCTGCCGGGTTACATGGCATCGTCAACCGGGCCAAATGGAAGCCAATCACAGGAAGTAAGTAGAGGCCAGTAGGTGGATCATATGTTTTACATGTATTTATAACACACCCTGGTGGACAATATGTGCAGTGCAGGCTTTGGGGTTAACGTGTTTATTCTTCTGTAGGTATGAATGATTTTAGCTACCTGAACACAAACTGTTTTGAATTGTCCATATTCTTGGGATGTGATAAGTTCCCGCATCAGAGTGAGTTGGCGCATGAGTGGGAGAAGAACAGAGAAGCTATGCTGATCTTCATGGAGCAGGTTGGTCACACACACTCACATTCACACGACATGATATACAGTATACTGATGTTCTGTCACGCCCTGCCCCTTCAAACTATTCCTCCTCTCTATCTAGGTGCATCGTGGCATCAGAGGCATTGTGAAGGATCAGCAGGGGAACCCCATTGCAAATGCCACTGTGTCTGTAGAGGGGATAAACCATGATGTCACTACAGGTCTGCTGAAAGACTTCCTCTCTTTCCCTTCTCACGTCTCATATGTTTAAACTTTGGTTCTTTTCCACACAATATATCACTGTCTGTGCTTAAAACAAAATGCCTGTCGTCTCTTTGTCACTGTAGCACCAACAGGGGACTACTGGAGGTTGCTTAACCCAGGGGAGTACCGCGTGACAGCTCGAGCTGAGGGCTTCTCCCCTGTGACCAAACTGTGTGTGGTGGGTTACCAGTCAGGAGCCACTGCCTGCAGCTTCAACCTGGCCAAGTCCAACTGGGACCGCATTAAACAGGTGAGGCACTGCCCTCCCAAACTGACCACACTCTAAATCAGGGATGCTCAACTTGCTTTGCCCGGGGGCCACTTCTCCAAAATGACAAGAAGCCAGGGGCCTCAGTGTTATAAATGAATTGCATGTTTTCAACCTTTTGACATTTGCTGTCAGCAATCATCTTTGCTAAGGGGCAAATCCAGTTGCGGCAGCCCTGCACACCTCAGGTGTATGTGGGGGCATTTAAAGGATTTGAGGACATTAGCCCTGGCCCCCTGTCAGGGGGTCCAGGGGGATCCTCTACTGACCTTTGTGATAAACCAACTCATTTTGATGTTTTTACGCACTCTGGCACCTTATTAACAGTCACAGTACAAAAGAAATCACAATGTGAATCAGTTTACTTTCACTGTGAATTAGAAAATGGTCAGCAGACCATCCAGCACTGGAGTATCACTGCCCTAAATTTTTGTTTATCTATTGTTTCTGTCTTCATTTCTCTGCAGATCATGGCCCTCCATGGCAACAAACCAATTCGACTCAGCTACAGCAACAACAGAGCACAGTACCCTGCAGCTCCTAATACCAACAGGCGTGTGATCAGCAGCAACAATGGGTATTCATCGAATTCACGAATCAGCGCTGAACGGCAGAGGAGGCTCAGGATAGCTCGTCTGCGTCGCCTTCGGCAACAGAGATTACTTAGGATGAGATCGACGACGACGTTACCCCCAACAACAACCACAATTCCCACAACACCAGAGACCACCACATCCTGGTATGACTCGTGGATCATAGGGGAGGGACAGTCCTCAACACCTGGTGGTTTCACAGACTCCATCTTGGATTATAACTATGAGTACAAAATTGATGACTATTAAACACACATGGCCCTGATTCAGTAAACGTGCAACTCTCCTACAAGTAGTTCTCATTGCCATGTTGTACTCTGAGCAGGCTGATAAAGAATCACATGGAGAATCCTGTCTTTGTACAACATAAAATGGGAATGTACAGAATATTAACTATAATAATTGTATAAAGATAGTGTGTCTGTTACCTAACAAAATGCCTCTTCACAGAAATGGACCCTGTATCTCAGTCTGACAGTTTACACTGCAGTTTTCTCACTTGTTCTTCAGTCTTTTTGCTTCATGGAAAGATGTTTATTGTGGGTGCACATTTAAAAAAGTCATGACCTTGTTTTTCACTTCACCAGAGTTGAGTTATTTACACTGTCTTCATCCATGGCAGCAATATTTTTACAGTATGAACAGTCGCTTAAGGTTTAAAAAGCATTTGTTCAAAGATGGTAACAGAGACAGACGAGGGAAAGAGGCTTCTGTCATGTTGCCTCAGACAGCTGGAGTAGTTATTTTTCAAATAAAGGCTTGTTAAAACACAACCTTTGCCTCTTTTTTTTTAAGCACCTGTGTGAACCCTCAGTGGAATACTGGGCTATCAGTGCTCTTTATCTCTTTAAGTTGTATGAATAAACACCATGAACATAGCATTAGAAATAAACTTATAAGGCAGTTTTTACAGCAATTCATTGACCATTATAATACCGGACAGCATCAGTGTAGCAAGGACTGTAATTCTTAGCCCCCAGTGTTGCTGTGAGTCTTCTGTGGAGAAATTAGTCTGAATATTTATCAACAGTGTCCGAGAAGTGTCAGTGTGTTGTACTGCATGTGGATATGGCCCCTCAGTGGCTGATGTTCATCTCACTTTCCTCATCGTCGTCAGCAGAGAAGGCCGAGAAGCTGACTGGCTCACATGCGAGAGTACATAAATTGACAAGGCATGCTGTTTGGGTGCTGCTGAAGTCTGGAACAGTAACCAATAGGACTTCCTGGCCGTCAGCACCTGGCGGGAAGAGAAGAAGAAATATATTAGCACATTAGTAGGGAGGAAAACAAATGAAAGAAAAATATTGTATCCATTTGGAGTCTTACGAAAGATTGTGATCATCAAGCAAGTTTCTTATGTGTACATGTCAGCATCACACACTGACCTTTGATGAGCTTGGACTCAAAGGCTGGGGCGTTGCCACTGAAGTAAACATGAGGACACTCTTCCAAGATGAAAGGGTCTTTTTGGTAAAATGGGTAACAACCTGACAGAAAATGTACAGATAACAGTGTGAATAATTTGAACCAACAGAAGACAGAGGTTCATGATTTATTCTGCATCAACCCGTCTGACTAACCAAGAGTATCAGGAGCCGTTGGGGCCAGGTGTCTGAGTCGTAGCGTATCCTCCAGTATTTCCAGATGACTGTCCATGCTGCTGTACTTCTGAATGTCACAGACATTCTGACCTGATGTGCCCAGGAACCTTGATGGAAACACACAGGCACAAACACAGGGCCTTTAACATCTGCAAACTTGCTCAGGATTCAAGACTAAACAGTGACTGTGTATGCTTACCTCACTCCATCAATGTTAGCTTGGTATGGATTGGTGGCCAACTGTAGTGTGGGGTACACTGAGGACAGGGGGAACATACAGCGGTGGAGAGGCTGCTGAGGAAGGGTGTAGTTTGTGGGGTCGTACTGGCCCGGCATTACATCTACTGGAACTGAGGCCTAGAACAGCAGGAGGCAGAGACACAGTGACTCACGTGTCTATATTGTCACTTTTTTTTAATTCCTAAAGATATTCCTTTCACTTGTGTCGAGCCATCTTTGGTCATGGGCAATAATTATTTCTAAATGATTATGATCTAAGAACTTTCTTAGTGTATAATTTATTTCATTTGGGACTGCTGCATCAAGAATTGTTTTCATTAGCAATTATTCAGTGAATCACTTCAGTCTATAAAATGTCAGAAAACTGTGAAAAATGACTCGCTTTTGATAAAAAAAAATCATTACAAGAAGAGGTAAGTGATGTCTAAATCAAGGCTATTCAATTAATTCAGTTGGATCATTTTAAAACCAGGAAATGAAGCCAGATATTTTCAGCAGCCTGTTTAAAACTTTTTTGTTTTAGCTTTTGTTAATAACAAATTTTAAACATATGCAAATGAATGTAGTAAAAAGTAGCAATGTTTATCGTTTTACATTCAAAATGTTAAAGTATCTATATATATTTTGTTCACATATCTGACCCAGGCACACAACAAAGTGCAGAAACAGATTAAAAAAGAGCTATCAATGCTGTCAATGCACAGAACAAAAACAAGTCGCAGTAACAGTCATCAATAACACACACCCTCTCTCTCTCGACCAGTATCTCCTTCCCTCTCAACTCATGACATTTTCCATCAAGGTCAAGGAAAAGTCATTAGGAAAAGACATAAGAAATTTTTTTTTTACAATTCAACCACAGACCGGATGCTTTGAAAAGCTACTAACTGTGGTCGGGACGATGTCACATGTGAAAACATTGCTTTGTAAAGGATATGATTGTGTCACTATACTGATCCTAACATCCTGTCTAATCAGATCTGTGTATGTGTTACTCAGCAGAGATGAGAGAGAAGCAAGATGGCTCACTTGTTATCTACTTCCAGACATTACGTAGTTAACATATTTTATCACACTGGTACAAATTTCTGTATGATGGGCCACTTGGAGGTTACTTCTGGGCCAGATGTGAACTGCGAGCAATTTAATAGGCCTACTCTAAATTGTTTCTTTTGTTCAACAGTCTTAAATCCAAAGTTTATTACACTAATAAAACAAAGAAAAACAGGAAATACTCAAATTTGAGAACCAGCAGTGTGGCATATTTTCCATTATAAAGAACTTAAACAATCTATAAATAATCAGAGTTGTTCTCAGTTCATTTTTCTTTTTATTGACTGATCAATTTATCAACTCTTTCAGCACTAACTTGTTTTATGCCACTGTGGACATGAATGGTTAATGAAAACTGTAATATGGTGATTTAGCACAATGTAATATGTAGTAATCAGACAGATTATGAAGAGACAGCCACCACAATGTAAACGATATTGCAAGATCTCAGCGGTTATACAAATATACTGTAGATCAACTCAAAGTATACATTATCCTAATGAGCAAAAATAAAATAAAAATGTGCATATATATGTATATATACATATATGTGTGTGTGTGTGTACGGGGGGGAGCAGACTCACCACCAGCTGAAGCAGCAGCTCATCCAGCAGACGAATGGCCTCCACACTGCCAGCCTGAGTCTTCTTGGTGAGGTACTTGGGCTTGAGACACAGAGAGGATAAAATGGGTATTTGAATGCCTTTCAGTGAGCCACTTAATGTGTTTCTTTCCTGAAAAAAGTAAAACTAATGAGAGATAAATATAAATAAATGTGTGTCAAGGTTAAACCCATTCCAGTTACCTTTGTTGATGCATCCTTGTCCTGGGTGCTTTGGCTCAGGAGGTTTCCAGCCAGTAGGACCCTGGAAATTGTCGCTGCACCACTCTGCTCACCCTGGTCACCGAGCTGACCGGTTACCATGTCAACCAGCAGCTGCAGCCCCAGCATGCTGTCAGCGTGACTACTGCCAAGACCAAGTCCTGAGACCAGGAGCACAAACCTGGAAGGTGACAGACAGCAGCATTAGAATCTCTTATCCCAAAAGGCTGGAATTTAAGCTGTGTTTGTCTATATGTGTGTTTACTGTACCTGTCAGAGCTGAGAGCAGCTTTTGGTGTCTGCGGAGGAAGATCGGCCGTGCAGAAGTCCTCAACTGTGAACTTCCCATCATTTCTTTCAGCTCCATATATAGCAATAACACTACCTGAAAGAGAAAGAGAAGAAATGCCATGACATACAAGAGACCTGTCCATAGCTGAGTGATGCAACACTGTGATCATTTGATGATGTGATAGTGACATCATTCTTCAATCTGTCTTGACCTCAAGCCAAATCCTGACCTGTGACACACTTGTCTCTGTCAATTTTGCCCTCCAGTTTGATCCTCTGTAGCTCATCCTCTAGAATCAGCTCATCGTTTTCACTGATGTATTTGGCTCGTGCGGGCTGAGGCAGCAGGTTATGCTGAAGGAGAGAAGAAAACAAGAGACACGATGCATTACACTGATTTCACTTTGTCTGACATGTCGGGGATCAGCTGGTGAATTTAGCAATACTGCTGACCTCCTCACTGATCTCCTTCAGAATAGATGGCTGCAACTCCATACGCTTGAACAAGGTTCCCACAATGCAACACTGCTCCCCTGTCTGAAGATCACACAGCTTCCTGATAAGCACATCTGAACCTGGCAGATACAGAAAGAGATATATTAGAAGATACATGGGCATATAATTCAGATGCTGTAAAGTCCCAAATGTGGGTCAAAACGTCCTGAGCTTACCCCACTTCTGCTGAGCTCTCTCTGAGAGCAAAGGCCTCATCTGCATGAGTCGTGCAGCATAAATATGAGCATACTGACGACTAAAGCTCCGCTCCCCGACCGTGTAGCGCTCGGCACATGGACTGTAGGCCAGCGACACCCTCTCAAACACCGGTCCCTGGTCCTCGGAGGCAGGGCGGCAGAGCAGAGAGGAGCCCTGCTTCTGGGCGCTCATCTCGGAAAACATGACTGTCCTGCAGCAGAGGCAGAAGAGAGGTTAGCAGTATGTACTTTGTTACATAAAACTTTATGACTGCCGAGTAAGTTTATATCGTGGTTTTAATAGGCTAGCTTATGAAGGATTTTAGTCCAACGTTAGCGTTACTGACAGCTCGCAGTCCTGTCTAATCTCTTCCAAAACATGCTGGCTGCTCTGAGAATATCGCTAATGTAACAGATTTAACAACTTTACCTTAGAGGAGGGAGAGTCAAGCGTCAAGTGCTACCCGTTTTTAACTGGTTAATAAGTTATATTTTAAGATAACACGGAATTTATTCCTTGTCTGTGAGCAAAAGAAACAACTCCCGCGAAATCACCCGCTAAACATCACTTTTTTTTCAAGGCGAACTCGTATTCTCGCGAGAAAAATAGGGATATCAGAGTAACCGCTACAATACATAAACCTAAACGTAGCATAAACCTTAACGAAAATAACCCACCTCAAATCTAAGAAGCGGTGGTATTGTGTGTATATATATATAGAGCATGCTGCTGTATAATTTAAGATTTTAGAACAGCCGATACTGGGCTTTTTTGTTTATTTATCGCACCGTCGCACAGAGGTGACGTCACATAGATATATACTAACGTCGCACTAAAGTGAGGTCACAATAGCGTAGCGGCAGCACGTAGCTTCGCCATTTTCACAGCTCTTTGTGCGCTACTGTCTGCTAACAGTTTGCGTTTTTATCGAGCGATTCTTCGCCTCGGGTTTTAATTAATTGGTAAAAATGCAAGGAAACAGAGGCCCCCAGCACAACCACGGGTCTAACCGCCCGGGAGAGCAGAAAAAGCCCGGAGGAACAAACACAAACGGCCAGCAGCCCGAGCCCAG